ACTGTTCCTACCATAATTACGAAAATATCTCTCATATTATAATTTACCAAAAACACTATAATACCCTCTTGTCATAATTACAAAAATACCTTTTTATTACTACATAATTACATATTAAATTTTAACATTCCATACAATTATATGAAAGTAATCCCATTGAAATTATTATAATACCTTTCTAATTGCTTGACAATTGAATGACAAGCATCCAAATCGACTATAATATCTCTATTTTTATGATTAATTAAAATCATTATAATACTCCTCTTAACATAATTAGTAAAATATCTCTTTTATCATAATTGACAAAGTTATCATAATACTTCGGCAATCATAATTACAGAAATGCTTTCCCATCATCATTGGACAAAATTTCCATAAGGCCTCTCCTATTATATTAAAATTATTGATTTTTTTTCCTTAAAAAAATTAAGTTGAATTGGTTATGATATTAATAGACTTTGATTTCATGGGTAAATGGGTTTAAATTTGATAATTGCTCGATGTTGGTAGTAGATAAATATTTTATCAATATATTGGATTGTTATGTATGTGTTATTGGATTTTGATTTAATTTATATAATTTTTTTTGAAAAAATTTCTTTTATTTAAAATAGAAGTCTATACAAGTTTAATTATGATTAATTGACACAATTCAAACATTGCTTTTTTATTTTGTCAAAAAATTACATTTTTCAAAAAAATAAAATATATTAATTTTTATTATTAAATAAAAAATTAAATATTTTATATTTTATAAAAATAAAAAAATTTTGTAACCCAAGCGAATTCGGGTCTTTCTCCTGGTTTACTATAATTTTACTCATTTTGACTTCCGTTGGACCTTCATTCAAACTGGCACATGCTACTCTTGGCTTTTTTTTCCCCCTCTTCCGCATTTCTTTTCATTTTCCCTTCTTAACGCACCATTTTGGTGCAAAGAGAGAAGCCTCAAAATTTTTTTTCGTTTTTCCATTCCATCTCTCTCTAAACTCCTTCATTTTTTCATTATCCTTTCAAAAGGAAAAACAGCCACCTTTATTGCCATCATCAACGGAACCCCCTCCCCTCAAACCAATACACCCCATCACCATCAATCACCGGTTCCCAAGCTTAATATCGAACCACCACCACTTACTGTTCTCACCTATCAATCGACCCCATATGAGCAGCACATTTAGACCACAAAAAGCATCACTATCCACCATTATAGATCCAAAACATCAATAGCCCACACCACCATCGACAGCAATCCCAAGCCTATCTAGCTATCATCAAACACTTCCAACAACCTTATCAAGTAACCCGAAACACACCAAAAAAAAAAAATTTCCCCAGACGAGATTCCCCTATTTATCATTTTTTAGACAAAAAAACACGCAAAGAAAAAGCCTCATTTCCCTTTGGAAAAGCCAAATAATAAAAAAAAAAAAACACAAATAAAAAGGAGGATAATCCTTTGGGTTGTGGGTTTAGGGAAACTTAAAATGATTTGAGCCATCAAATTTAGCAAGAAAGAAGGCTAGGATGAAAGGAAGAACTTGTAAGGACGCAATGGTTTGACCAGCAGAGTGCAAACTTTTAAAATGAGGAGACTCGCGACTTTCTCTATAGATTTAGGCATTATATGATTTTTTTTTTTTTTTGAAATACTAACATCAGAACATGAAAGAGGGAGCCTAAAGGAAGATTTTGATGGAATCTGAGGCCAAATTGGCACTGACGAGCGGTGATCGAAGTCAAAGCTCAGTGGATGACACGGTGACCGGTGCTGAAACCTAAATTTAGGGGTGTGATCATTGTTTTCTATTTTAAATGAGAGAGTTTGAGAGAGAACGATCAGTTTTAGAAAGAGCAGGAAATGAGAAAAATGATATAAAAAAAAGTTGGGTTTTAGAATGGAAAAAAAAGTGATCAATCCGAGCTCGAACCCACTGCCCGCTTGCCTGACGCACACGACTTGTGCCTAAAGCTGAGTCATCGCATAAAAAGTTGGTAGAAAAATATCAGTCAATTTAAATAATTTACTTTTTGTTAAATACTTTTTTACCGTAAATGTGAATGGAAAATTAATTCTGATTTGATTTCAGTTTCATCAAAATGACTATTTTATTAGATTGATAGAGAAAATTATTTTTCCTTTTATTTGCGAGTATTACATTTGCGAATAATTATTTTCTTTTCAACTGCTGTATTAATGCTGTATTAATGAATATTAATACACCTGTATCATTTTCTTTTCAACTGTTGTATTAATACTCATTAATACAGCATTAATACTCGCACATTGTGAATGGTTGTATCATTTTCTCTATCAATCTAATAAAATAGTCATTTTGATAGAGAAAATAATTTCAGTATTAATAAAATCATTTTATTAATGCTGTATTACATGTGCGAGTATTAATACTGTATTAATGAGTATTAATACACCTGTATCATTTTCTTTTCAACTGCTGTATTAATGCTCATAGAGCTTATTTCATATTTATTTAGATGTCAAAGTTATCTTACTTCATTACTTATAGATTGTTTGTTATAGCTTTTTAAAGAAATTTTTTACCTTCATAACTTTCTTTAACTTAATTTTTTATTTTTTTCAAATGAGGAATTAGTACTGTCTTTACTTGTTTAATTAATATTCTTTATTTTCAATTTTACCTTCTAAACTCTGTAAAATCATGTCATTTAACACTTCAATTCTCATTATAATGGTCTGACCTCTTTTTTTCTCCACATATTTTTTATTTACATTGTTTGTTAGTTTATTTCCTTTTTAGCTATTCATGGCTTTCTTGTTTTGTAAGGGTTTCAAAGGAATGACAAGTGGTATTTGAAGATACCGAAACAAGTATGTAATTGCATTGTTTGGAACAAGCCGCAAAGGCATGTTATCAGTGCTTTATTTCTTTATTTGTTTTGTGATTTTTTTGCTAAAATATTAGTATTATTTCAGATTTTATGCTATTATTTTTTTATAATATGAATTTCATTTTTTTTTTTAGTTTTAGGGTTTTATATTGTTATAAATTAATGGTGTTTATTAGAACTTTTGTTCTTATGATCTATTATGAATAATACTAGATATTTGAATTGTGATTATTGGAATTTTACATAGCTCAAATTTTGATTAGTGTATTTGATAGATTTAAGTTTTAATGTTAAAAGTTGAGCATTAAGATGAGAGATTGTAACGTGTTGATTAAGATTTGAATAAAAAATATTTGTTATTGCATCAATACTGATATGTATTTATTTATTTATTTCTAATATGGAGATGACTTCCGATGATATTTCAAGTACTTTATTTTCTGAAGTTGTATTCATTAAGTTATTTTTTATCTTTTTTTTTTTTCTAAATTGTTATGATTCTCTTGTGCCATTTTGTATAAAAATGATTTTCTTTGTTTATTGTTTGATTATTAATCCTTTCTTTGAAGAATATTTTCATTTACCCATATTCATCGAAGAGACTAAATCTTGATTTTCTTTTCCTTTTAATATAAGAATCTCATTGAATTATCCCTTTGCTCTCTTTATTTTTAATTTTTTTTCTCTATCTTCCGATATCTATTAGAAAGCCATAAGTTAACTATATTATTCAGTTTCATTGTCTATTTATAATTTATAATTGTGCCTTTGAAAAAAAATTCATTTTGGGTTAATGTTGATACATTTTTTAGCATGATTCTACTCTTAAATATTGAAATTAATATGATTTAATGGTGTTCTATGTCCTTATAATTTGACAATGAATGCTGTTTACAGATAGCTGGTTAACGGAGGACTATCCTCATTCATATTTTTCATGAATATTTATTGTTCTTGGAAAATGAAAAATAAGTTGAAAGATACTTGAATCAGTTTCATTTTTGCATTACAAAATTTGTTAATATGATAATACATCATCTAAGTGATTGTTGATAAAATCAATTATGCTGAAAAAATGAAGAGGATTACAGGTACATACAAATAAAAGTCAAATTAATTTTTATAAAAAATTTAGAAAGTTTGGACTATGCGACACATGTACGCTCATAAAAAAGAATTTCCTTCTCTTAGGGGAAATTTGCAGCAAATGATCACTTGAAATCTGGTAATCATTGTTTTTTTTAGATAGTTCAGTAAGGGATATTCGACGTGATTGTCTATGGTTATTGTATATAAAAATTTGCTGGATGTGGATTAAAACTTAAATATTTTACTCTAATTTTAATTTAAACTATTATGTTTTTTTGTCATATAGCTCTTGTATTACTTGAATGGCTTAGGACTTTAAATTATAACGTTTCCTTTAATTTGTCACAAAAATTAATACATGCATTATTATTATTATTATTATTATTATTATTATTATTATTTGTTTCTATTAGTAATTATATGTTTAATCTTCTTAACTCTTAATTTATACTTAATTTTTAGGTTGGTATTGCATCATGAAAACTTAAAAGAAGCAAATAAATAAACAAATCTTTAATTAATAGCGAGAAGAATAAGCCCTCATTTCTTTGATGTTAAAATTTAAAATTTAAATTTATTACATATCATTTTTTAATGATAATTACATAAATTAACTGTGTTAAATTTTGGTTTTTCATAATTAAAATTTTCATCTATGGAAAAACATAGCAAATCAGGGACAGCAAATTTCATTTAAAAATATTCTTTTCAAAAAAAAAAAAAAACTTAAAGCAAAAACAATGGGGAAAGCTTGATGATGGGTCTCTTTTCGATAATCCATCTACTAGAATATTTATTTTTCTATCAAATTTACTAGTCCTCATGATCCATCAATCGCACATGAGCAAAGAAATTGGGGAAAAAAAAGGGGGAAAGAAATTAGAGGGAGTGAGGGTTCGATCTTCTCTTGATAATATTTCGTCCACAGGTTGAGCAATTAGTTCAAGATTTGTTTATTTCTACTACTCCCATCGCATCATTAGTGAAGACTGATATCCTTAATAGAAAATCTTCAAATTATGGAGCTCTTATCTGTTGGAACAAAAAAGATGAAATATACAAACATGTAATACAAAAGGCTTTTTACTGCAGCCTAATTGCCCCAACCTTTCAAGAAAAATGATCTTCTTGATCGATTGCCCCTATTAATTTGATTAAATACAACCTAGTAATTTAATATATTACAATTAAATTAAAGCTTGTAAAACAGGCTTAATGAGGTTTAGTCAAGATCAATTTTGATGGAGTTCTCCCAGAATGTGAGCTGCTCGGTGGCATTGGGAGTGGTGGCCAGGGATGAGGAAGCATAAGGAAGCGTATTGCTGCAGTCAAGGCGCTAGAGTTTGTACAACACATGGGCTTTGTAGAAGTAAGGAGATGCTTAAGGGTGTAATCAACCAGATCAACCAACACAGGAATTTTCAAGTATTGGGGCTTTAATTGAAGTTAATACAATATTGCCAACAACGGTGCGATCTGTTAGTAAGAGTGCTTAATTTTTTCAATGATCAGAATTCAAATTTTGATAGCCAAGTACAGCAAAAAGTTAATACAATATCCAAGTATTCTACTAGGAACAGTCTGATTCATGGTGTCCATATTTACAAATGATAATCTAGATATTTTTCAATGGAAGTTACCAGGCCAAAGTTAAGCCCTTTTGGAAGAAGCTTGAGATATCAACTGATTGCTATGACCTAGTAGGAACCAACATTGATCGTTCATTCCCAGATATGAACCCATTGACTATGAAAATGAAGGCGCTGAGAATGTAGCATAGCCCTTAGTTGGTGCCTGTTTCAGCCTTTGATCTTATTCCTAGAGTATACTGCATATGAAACAGAAGCAGCAAGCATGTTATCACTTGCTACTGGATATATATTAGTCTTTTCGTTCATCAACCTGCCACTAACTGTTTGTTATATATGTAGGTTGGCAATGGAAAGCAAATGCAACTATGATTCATAGAACTGGTACTAATTTGTAATGGACTTGCAGAAGATGAGTACATAATAAATTCATGACAACAAAAGTAATTAAAACCCACCTCATTCAAAAGTCTGAAGTTTTCAATAGGTACAGAACTTTTCATTCTCTGTCACTGTTTTCACTGGCAGTGGCAACAATAACTAGTGGATCCACATCAACAGCTCCTTCTGGATCTTCATCAATGCTGTCATTTCGATCATCTACATATGCCTGGGAGCTGACCACCTGACCTCTGAGATCCTTGTGTTTTAGATTACCTGTAAATATAAGAGAGAGGGTATATTAGAAGTTGGAAAGAAATCCAGGCATTTTGGGTATATTTGGTTCACAAGACGAGGGAGGAAAGGACTAGGAAATGAGGAGGATAGAGTTAGATGATGTTATCTTATTCTCTGTTTGTTGTGTGCATGATTGAGAGTATGATAGGATAATTTTTATCTTATCCTACGTTTAGTGTGTGAAACATTGAGTGTACAACAGGATGATCCAGGTCAAAATTAGCTTTCCCTGTAAAGGTAAGAGATGGAGGGTATATATTGGAAGTTGGAGAGAAATCCAGACATTTAGGGTGTCTTTGGTACACAAGACCGAGAGAGAGGCAAGGATTAGATTATTGAGAGGATAGAATTAGATGATGTTATCTTATCCTATATTTCGTGTGCTTGATTCAGAGTATTGTAGGATAATTTTTATCCTATGCTATGATTAATGCGTGCAATATCCAGTGTACAACAAGATGATCCAATTATGTCGGTCAAAATTAGCTTTCACTGTACAGTTGTATTAAATACACACTTGGAGGGATAAAGAGTAAATATAAGAATACGAGTATCTAACTTCCAAAATACAAAACCTATCCCAGAGGATTAACAAAAACCTACCATTTCAATGGGATTGACTCATCCTATACTAGGAGGATTAGCCATCCTATCTTCAATGAGGATTAAAACAAGATGTTCCTTTGGCATCATTGCCAGTTTTGACTTCAATGAGGACAAATAAGAAATTTAAAGGATAGAAAAGAAGTATGAACAGGTAGTGCACATTTTAAACTGAATCGAGATGCTTTTCTTTGTTCTGGAAAAATTTAGATCTAAATTTCGGGAATCTAGTTTTTCAAAAGTCAAAACCATCAAAGAATTTTGTAAAATCTCACCGGTTTAGCCATAAATATCATAGTTTTCAAAAAATTATCTTCAAATTGATGAAAGAATACATCATCTATTTTCAAGCACTAGGTAAGAATTTTGCCAGAATTTGGTAATGTGAACCCTTTCTTCAATTTGGATTCAGGAGCTAGACCAGTTAAAATTTCACAATTGACATGGAAGTTTAAACTTGTATTAGAGCAAAGGTTACTTATTTATTTGAACCTAATGGTTTTAAAATACCTTAATCATAATAACAAATTTTAAATATTTTTATAGTGGTTTAAATTAATATACGCCTTATCCAGAAAGAAGAGTGAAAATATCAGTGAAGCATAAACAAAATTTAAATATTTTTAGTGGTTTAAATGAATATACCCTTTATCCAGAAAGAAGAGTGAAAATATCAGTAAAGCCTAACTATTGTGTTCCAAACATGAAGAATCTAGTATTGTACCCCCAAAAAGAGAGAAAATAAAAAGGTAAAAATAATTGAATGTGCTACATACCCATCCAGAAAGTGCACCCATTAGAGGTTGCATGGAGAAGAGCCTTGACACGAAACAAAAAGCGTTCCAAAGATCTTTTGGTAGCAGGGATTTTGCCTGTAATGGCTGTTTGTTTCAAGCCCTTCAAATATAAAAGACAAATTCAATATAATCCGCTATCATTGCAAAGTTCTAACTAAGCCTCAAAATGGATTGGAAGAGCAAGGCTCACCTTTGCTTCAGAACATAGGGTCTGAATTGTTCTTGTAGCCTTCTGAAGTTCTTTTACCTGACGCAACAAATAAGCAATAAGGCCTCTTCTTGCAAACTTCAACCTGGACCAAGCAGGTCAGAAAAAATTTTGTGCATCTGATCTTACCAGTAGAAGTATGACTTCGTTATGCATTTGGAAGTGAACCTGCAAGAAATCAAAAACTGCAAAATTCCAGGATGTGAGTGCTCTTAATAGACTACAATGAACGATCATATAGTATTTCTAAGATATAAATACCTTTAAGGAAGGAATCAATGAATTTCCCACCATACTTGACAGCCATTGCATGCAGGGTGACCTGTGCCATCATCTTAACATGTCAACAAGATTGCTGCCTGAAGCATTTGGACAATAAAGTGGTACTAACTACTTGGGTATGTTAGCAAGAAATCTTCGTAATGAGCAAAAGGTTCCTCTATTGATTATCCACCAAATATACTTCCAATTTAGGATAAGCTATCATTTAGCTTTTACTCTCAATCAAAACCTAGTTGTTTCCAACTTTCCTAAACCTTGAGCTGCAGGCAGGGTTTAGGCTGTTAGCAACATATGAGGAAGCGTCCTTGGCACAATAGTACAAAATAATGCAGCAGAATCATTCAACAGCCAACTTACTGCAGCAGGACAGGCCTCATTTGGAGAAAAGTAATGTTAAAGTGTCATAGTTTCTTCTATTTATCTTCCTTTTTTTCAGAAGAAAGATTAGATTCCAAAAAACAACAAAGGGAAGCCATCATTCTGCTTAAAAATTCTAGCAAACTAATCAAAGGAACTTTCACCTTATATAACAATGTAGTCATGAAAAAGTACAAGGGCCTTACAGTTTCACTAATGGATTAAATCCATAGAACTAGGCATGATAAGAGGGTATGGACTATGGACATAAGGTAAAGGAGAGGGATTTCATGATCCTGGTGTTCTCTCATCCAATCATATGATTCACTCTCTCAAAAGAATTCCTAGAAAACTTGTTATAAAAGTGAATGAAATTAAAAAGGCCAAAAACAGATGTAAAGCTAAGATAAAATGCCATAAAATCTAATCTGAAATGAAGGCAATTTGTGTATGGAAATCGGAGAGTTGACTAATTTACCCTAGTGGTGGGATAGGTTCAAGGCTACAAAATATAATATACACATTTATTATCTAAGAATTTTTGGCAAACAAACTCCACAGTTCTATGGGCTCTAAGGTTTAACTAATCTATTAAAACCACGGAGCTATGCATGCTGAAAGGTTATGGACTATGGACATGAGATAAAGGAGAGGGATTTCATGATCCTGGTGTTCTCTCCTCCTGCAGTAATATGATCCACTCTCAAAACGGTTCCTAAAGAACTAGTTATACAAGTGAATGAAATTAAGAAGGCCAAAAACAGAAGAAAAGCTAAGGGAAAATGCCATAAAATCTAATCTGAACAAAGGAGAGTCGTGTATAGAAATCAGAGACTTGATAAATTTACCCTAGTGGTGCAAGAGGTACAATGCAGCAAAAATAATATACGTATTTATTACCTAAGAATTGTTGGCAAAGAAAACTATGCTGTTCTATGGGCTCTACAATTTCACTAATGTATTAAATCCATGGAACTATGCATGCCAAATGGGTATGGACTATGGACATAAGGTAAAGGAGAGGGATTTCATGATCTCGGTGTTCTCTTCTCATCGAATCAAATGACTCACTTCTCAAAAGAATTCCTAAAACTTGTTATAAAAGTAAGTGAATGAACTTAAGAAGGCCAAAAACATATGAAAAACTAAGGGAAAATGCCATAAAATTTAATCTGAAATGAAGGCCATTCATGTATAGAAATGGAAACTTGACTAATTTACCCTAGTGGTGGGGTAGGTTCAAGGCTGCAAATATAATATACATATTTATTATCTAAGAATTATTGGCAAAGAAAACGCCACAGTTCTATTTGGTTACCTTGTCATAGGTTCTGCACATGGTAACTAGTGCAACAACCACATTAACGTTCTTTTGCATCTTGATCAAATGAGTGTGAACATTTTCGGGTTGAAAACCAGGTCGGCACTTCTCTAAGCAAACAACTTCCTTAACCTACAAAGAGAGGAAAGGATAAGATTTGCAACACCTTTTACTAGTATTTTGCTACCTCATTTGTGATCAATGGAAACAAAGCAGCAAAATTTACTGCTTACCAATTTGTCAAGAACTGTGAGGTTCACTTCAAACTGCAAAAAGGGCAGGCCTCAATCAACATATTTAATGGGAAACAATAATACTCATTGAAAAGAACTTGGAAAACAGAGGATGTCTTACCAGCACACGGTACCATGAGAGGAATGTTGAAGAACATAGAGTTGGGAAACCATAATCCTCATCTTCTGCTATTGTTGTAAAAGAAACCTGACAACGAAATCCCCTTTAGTGCTACTACATACAAATGAAAATGGATTCAATTGATAAGAATTGTACACCAAATGACCCTGACGGTTCATTCTAACTTAAACTTAGTAAGCATTGTCATTTTAAACCAAAATCTAAATAGATGTACAAATACAGATCAAGGAAAAGACAAAAAAGAGACAGAAGGGAGAGAAAAAATAGTGAGAAAGGGGGAAGAAACAGAGGAACTTAGGGAGGAAATGGAAGAATAATGGTTAGAAATCAGAAAGCAACAAGAGAGAAAAGCAACTAGGGAGAGGGAATCCAATCTCAAAACTTAGATCTCAACAATCTGTAATACAAATTGTGACAGCCATTATGTGGGTGGAAGGAAAAAATAAGTCAAGTAGGCAAAAAATTTGCAGTTGTTTTTTATTAAAATGGGTAGTTTCTTTTTAAATGATGTGAAACTAAAACAACTATAGGAGTTAAATTTTCACACTGCGAAGGTTATGTACATATCTATGCTTATTTTTATAACTTAGATGGTTTTTTATGTAATTTTACCAACTGAGTTAGTGTCTTTTAACTCGTGACACCAACTAACCCATTAGAATTAACCCACTAGTCTTATCTGTAACTAAAAGTAGAAACAAACACTCATAGGCTACACCTTAAACCTTAGTGTAAAATCAAATACCAAATATAACCCTTAATTCTCTAAAAATTTCCTTAATACTGTTCTTAACTCTCTAAAAATACCAAGTTATCCTGTTCTTAACTCTCTAAGAAGGAAGAGCAATTCTATTACTTGGACAGAGGTGATACATAGAAAAACTGCCAGAGCTCTAATGTATAAACATAACGATAAAGGATAACTTCCAAATGACCCTATTAACCTTATGCAACAATTGTTACTCAACAAATTCAAATACCTGCGGCAAAATTGTGCAGGCAAGCTCATCTAGCAAATCAGAAGTTGATTCAGTATATTCCAAGTAATTCCGCAGTATCCTTTGTACTATTTCTCCCTGGAAACACCAGCAAGTTTTTTGATATGCATATGAATAACTACATGGTACATTAAAGTAGGAAATTGCAATCAAGAAATCTAAGACATGCAAAACATAATGTAATCAGTCTCACTTTGTTCTTCCAGCCATTCTCAAGTTTTTTGTTATCCCACTTATGCTTTAAGAGTTTCTGAGCGGAAGATCCAAGTCTGCCACACAATAGTGGGAGGATCTGGCTAAACCCTGACTGTATGTTTTTATCATCTCCCTCCAAATTGATGACCTTCTGAACTGATGTAACAACTGATTCCAGAGTAAAAAGAGCCTCTGAAGCCAGAATAAAGGAGAAAGAACATGCTGCAAGGAGTAGAATTTGATACAAATTAGATACAATAAAAGGATAAGTAAGCATCATAAAAAACCTACAGCAATAAAGGCAAGATTTTTGCACCTGCATCAAGGATACTCTCCACAAATGAACAAGCACCAAGATATGAATATTCTATTGTACCAGGTGAAGGACAAGGCTGCACATCTGAAGCACCAGCATCTAATGGTTTATAGGGCTGAAAGGCTTTAAGGAGATCCGGAAGAACTGATTTATTCCTTAAAACTTCAGGAAGGTTTAGCATCTGTTCAAGGAAAAACTATAAGCAGGAAGTAGAATATAACAATTTGTTCAGATAAGAAATTTTCTATCCATACATTAACCCACGTAAAAGCATCACTTGTCAAGTTGGAAAGTGCTGCACAAACACGTACATACACCTGAAGGTTAAGGTGAGAGTAAAAGTATTCACCTTACGGAAACAATTAAGAACTTCCTTAAAAACCATAGTAGAAATTGAAGACTTTGATGGCACAAGGTTGGTTATATCTGGGTTGCCAGCCGCGGCAGATTGAATGGTCCAGTGTCCCTGACAAGTTCCATTACCTACAGTATATTGTTCTAAGACTGCAAGAATATAGCAGGCATGATCTTAATGACAAAATGAAAACTAACATGTTACCTTCTTTAAGAATACAGAATGCACTATCTAAATTTCTCTTAAGACTTGGAAAGAGTGGTCTAATCTTGCTGAGGAATTCATCCAAAGTCATCCTGGCAACAGCACCAGAAATCAAGCTTCTTGTGGAGCATTGTTTGCCCGGAGCAGCAAAGTAATCCAGCTTGCAGTGAAGGTCATGGATAAGGTAAAGGTATAGGGGCAACTGTCCAGAAATAACAAGTTTTCCACATATCATCTCATCATTTTTATCTGTATAATTTAAAGGAAAGAGAGCTATATAAACAATTAATGTACCTCAGCCAGAGGGTCACTGCAACAGGATTTATGGTCCTGCATCTGAAAAGACACATTCAATGATACTTATCATTCGTGTAATACAATATAAAACCTCTAAACAAGAAAAATAGGCCTCATTCAGTAAAATTGCATTTTGAAATTTTAGGAGCCAAACCCAACGCCTGCTAGGTAATTAGCAATGAGCAAACAACTTAATTAGTAGATTCAAAACTGCAGGGGCAAAAATACATTTCAAATTCATATAGAAATCAAAACTTGGAAGTCCTGCTTCTCATTTCAAATGATCTATAACTAGCTAATTTGAAGAAGACAAGTGCATAAAAGAAGACTCTGTATCTTATTATTACAGTTGGACAACTTGGAAAAAAAAATCAACAAGTTAGCTTGAATATTTAGACATTCCATAAAAAACATAGAGATAAATTAGCATTGCACCCAGAATCATAAATCAAGTGAAAGGAATACATTGACATACTGCCACTGATCAATAAATGTTTAAGAACAAAAGATTTTTGTAATGCATAGATTCATCTCCAATTGTATCAGGTGATAGCAGTTTTCTCATTAATGCTAACTGTGGGAAAACACTTATTTACAGCTGGTTGTAATCTTGTAATCTGTATATTTATATTTGTATCTCTAGAATTAAGTATTTGTATGCCCTAGAATTAGGAAAGATTAGTTTCCTAGTTTAACCCCTAGTTAGTTGTTATATAAACCTAAGATTCTGTACTATTCATTATAAGACAGTTTTTCAATTATCACATTCAGTTTCCACATGGCTATCAGAGCTTTAGGCTCTTCTTGGGAAGCAAAATTTCAAGCCTTCATTGCTGACTTTTTTAGGCCTTCATTGCCGAACCCTTTCAAAAGAAAGATTATCCACTACCACCAATTTGAGAAAATGTTAACTGGAAAAATCACTCAGAGTTACTTAACAGATGTCCTAGAAACAAGAGAGTTTCACGGGAAGAGATTGAAAAGCCTTGAGAACTTATTGAATAAACCTTGAAAAGCCTACTATGGTATGTTCTTTGGGTAAAGTTTCTAGTTCAGGTAAAGTTTCTGGTTCTCATGGATTAAATGTCTCGGCTAAGCCTATTACGAGTTCTTGGGTCATTGACTCAGGAGCCACAGACTACATGACACATTCTTCACAAAAGTTTAGTACATATAACCTGTCTCCTAGTAATAAGAAAATTGTTGTTGCTGATGGTTCACTTACCACAGTGGCAGGATTAGGAGATGTTCAAGTTAATCCCTCGTTTGTTCTAAAAAATGTTCTTCATGTTCCTGGATTATCTATTAATCTGATATCTATACAAAAACTTACCAGAGATATGAATTGCAAAGTAACTTTTTATCCCTCTTATTGTGAATTTCAGGACCAGAGTTCGGGGAAGATGATTGGACTCGCTAAGGAGAAGGATGGACTATACTATCTTGAGACATCAAATAGCACAAGTAGTATCAAAAATAGTTTACCTTTGTCATTTCTTTCTGAAAAATCTTCCAATAAAGACAAAATTTGCTTTATCATTTCCGTCTTGGACATCCTTCTTTTGGAACCTTGAAAAACATGTTTCCTTCTTTGTTCAAAGGATTAAATGTTGAAGATTTTCATTGTGATATTTGTGAATTTGCAAAACATAGACGTGTGTCTTTTCCAATCAGTAACAAAAGAAGTTCTACTCCTTTTTACTTGATTCATAGTGACATTTGGGGTCCCTCTACAATTCCTAATATTTTTGGTGCGAGATGGTTTGTTTCATTCATAGATGATTGTACTACGGTCTCTTGGGTTTTTTTACTTAAATCCAAATTAGATGTGAATAGTGTGTTTGTAAGCTTCCAAAACATGATCCAAAATCAATTTGGAGTGAGAATCAAGAGATTTAGGTCTGATAATGCAAGAGACTACTTCAACCATAGTCTATCCACCTATTTTCAAAAAGAAGGGATTATCCATGAGTCATCTTGTGTTAATACTCCACAGCAGAATGGAGTGACAGAGAGGAAAAACAGTCATTTACTAGCCATAACCCGAGCCTTTCTTTTTCAAGCAAATGTACCTAAATCTTATTGGGGGGAAACTGTTCTCACTGCCACATACATTATAAATAGGTTACCTTCAAGAGTTTTGGGATTTAAAACTCCTATGGAACTACTCTCACAATTTTATCCCAACCTCAATACCACAAACAATCTCACACCTAGGATATTTGGTTGTACATCATTTGTTCATGTTCACAGTCATAACAGGGGAAAGTTGGATCCAAGAGCGATTAAGTGTATTTTTGTGGGGTATTCTTCAACTCAAAAAGGATATAAGTGCTATCATCCTCCTACCAAAAAATTCTATGTGTCTGCAGATGTCACTTTTGAAGAAAATAAACCATTTTTTACTCAACCTTATCTTCAGGGGGAGACTTCATTCATGGAAGATAAGGATAAAGACTTCTTTTTGCTTGATTTGCCCCCTTCTTCAACATTTACACCAATTAATTCTTCTGAGTCGAAACCTGTTTCTGCTGAGCCCAAGTCAAACACTGAATTTGAGTCTGAACCCATTCCAAATACAGAAGATGTGACAAAGGATAATATTGTTCTTGATTCTATGAAGGAATTACAGGTGTACTCAAGAAGGAAAGTTCCAGATCCTGAACCAGTGCCAGTCCAAGAACCTGATCCTAACTCTGGAAATGAGGTAACTACAGTTTTTGACTCTGTTTCTCAAAATGAGCATGAATCTCCTAAAACTATAACTAGTGATTATGATTTGCCTATTGCCATTAGGAAAGGAACCAGAGAATGTACCAAGCATCAACTATACCCAATATCTAATTTTGTGTCATTTGAAAAATTCTCACCATCCCACAAAAATTTTCTTGTGAGCCTAAACACTATTTCTGTTCCAACTACATTATCCGAGGCATTATCCAATGAGAAATGGAGGCAAGCCATGAAAATAGAAATGGAGGCCTTAGAGAAAAATCAGACATGAGAACTGGTAGAGTTGCCTAAAGGAAAAAATTCAGTGGGGTGTAAATGGGTTTTCACCGTAAAATACAAGGCAGATGGTACTGTTGAAAGGTATAAAGCCAGGTTAGTGGCTAAGGGCTACACTCAAACCTATGGAGTGGATTACCAGGAAACCTTTGCTCCAGTTGCCAAGATGAATACAGTTAGGATTTTGTTATCATTGGCTGCAAATTACAATTGGCAGCTTCAACAATTTGATGTAAAGAATGCTTTTCTACATGGTGATTTGGAAGAAGAAATATATATGAAGGTTCCACCGGGATTTGGAGGTCATCTAGAAGTAAACAAAGTATGCAGGCTAAAAAAGGCTTTATATGGCCTTAAACAGTCTCCTAGAGCTTGGTTCGGGAGATTTGCCAAAGTGATGCTAGCAATGGGATATAAACAGAGTCAAGGAGATCACACATTGTTTATCAAGCACTCTGATTCAGGGAAAGTCACAGTTTTATTAGTGTATGTTGATGATATAATTGTAACTGGAGATAATGAAAAAGAGAGAGAATCTCTAAAACAGTGTTTGGCTAGAGAATTTGAGATAAAAGAGCTAGGGAGATTGAAGTACTTCCTAGGAATTGAAGTAGCTCACTCACGGCATGATATTTTTATCTCACAACAGAAATATGTGATGGATCTTTTGAAGGAAACTGGAAAGCTTGCATGTAAACCTGCAAATACCCCTATGGATCCTAATCATAAAATTGGAGAAGCTAATGAAAATGCTGCTGTAAATAGAGAGATGTACCAAAGATTAGTTGGAAGACTCATTTATCTCTCACATACTAGACCTGATATAGCATATGCTGTGAATGTGGTAAGTCAATTTATGCATAGTCCTAAAGAAGTGCACCTACAAGCTGTCTACCGTATATTGCACTATTTGAAGGCCAATCCTGGGAGAGGTATCTTATTCAAAAGAAATTCGGGGTTAATTCTAGAAGCATATACAGATGCTGATTATGCAGGTTCAGTAACTGATAGAAGATCCACCTCAGGCTACTGTACTTTCTTAGGTGGTAATCTTGTGACTTGGAGGAGTAAAAAACAGAATGTGGTGACAAGATCAAGTGCTGAAGCAGAGTTCAGAGCAATGGCTCAAGGGATTTGTGAACTACTATGGTTAAAGATTATCTTAGAAGACTTGAAGATCAAGTGGGATGGACCAATGAGACTCTACTGTGATAACAAGTCTGCAATAAGCATTGCACACAATCCTGTACAACATGACAGAACAAAACACATTGAAGTAGACCGGCATTTCATAAAGGAGAAACTAGACAGTGGGTTGATTTGTACACCTTATGTATCAACCAAGGGTCAACTTGCAGATGTGTTGACTAAAGGTCTCAGCAGTGCAACATTTCAAGGAATTATTTCCAAGCTGGGAATGGAAAACACCTATTCACCAGCTTGAGGGGGAGTGTGGGAAAACACTTATTTACAGCTGGTTGTAATCTTGTAATCTGTATATTTATATTTGTATCTCTAGAATTAAGTATTTGTATCCCTAGAATTAAGGAAGATTTAGTTTCCTAGTTTAACCCCTAGTTAGTTGTATATAAACCTAAGATTCTTGTATAATTCATATAAGCAGTTTTTCAATATACATTCATTAATGCTAACAGGTTCAAGTTTAATCTGAAGATGGAAGTATTGACAATAGCTGGGAGTAAAACAACAAATGGTAGCTGTTTGATACTTTGATGCATTAACCCAATCCTACCAAATGAACAAGAAAAAGGAAGATAAAGCATTTAGCATGAATAATTAATCAGATATTAAATCATCACTGTCTTCTATATAAATTGAAGACATTTTATCAAAGATGATACTAACCAAATTTCTTCATATTGCACCTACCAATGAGAAGTATTAAGTGATGTTACTCTCTCTCTCTCTCCCCCTCCCTCCCTCCTCTCTTGGTTGTTTCTTGCCCTGTTTACCTATTTTTTATCTTACCCGTGCTCTGTTTTCCTATTCCAAATGATAGGCTTGCTTGTTTCGATTGTTTGTATTGTTCCTCTATGTAGCAAGGACTGCTAAGTGGTTTTATTCCACATCAGTTTTCTTAAAATGAATAATGAGCCAATGGGCAATGATATGAAAAAATTTTAAACTTGGAGGAAATTTTATTGATTGTTAGGCAATTAATGAAATTACCTTTCACATCAATAAGTTAAATGGACATGATAAAGGACTCTAATAAGCAAATTATTTTAAGGGCACTTGAAAATTAAGTGGAGACAGGAACTGAGACCATGAGAAGTTCAGACTTATCATCTTTACTGGGTCCCAAGAACATGTAAATAACGTACAACAAATGAATATGGAAAGCTCATTCGATTGCGACATGAAATACAAAATTGAAAGGAATCATGTAATATAGTTGAGGATTAAACTGTGAGGAGACACACCTTTGAAAAAATCAAAATGGAAAAGCACTCCAATAGAAGAGGCCTGAATCTAAATTTTTGTGATTCCATAGCTTGGGAAACTGGAGAAACTTCTATAAGCACTGACTCATTAGAGACGTGGGAATGGTGATCCACAGATACCGAGGTCCTCTCCTTTGAAGAAACCTCATTTGGTATCTCTTGGCTTGTCACTGCTCCTGCTTTTCTCAACACGTCCAACAATGTTGGCTGGCACAGTTTTCCATCTGTACCTGTTGTTGAGGTATTTGAAATCTTTTTATGCTTCCTCTTGTTTGGATATGTGCATTCATGTGTCATCTTCGGCTCATTCTTCTTTTCTATAGTCCCCATGTGGCTTGGTTGGTTTATGAGTGTTGATCCACAATGCTCCATTTGAAGATGGAGCTGAGGTAGCGCTACAGGACACATTCTGATGGAATGATTTAACAAGCTTTCCAGAAATCTGCATCAACAACCAACAGGTTCTTACTATCAGTATATAGGATTAATTCATGATATGTGACACTCCAAAAGATAAACCTAACATAGATGTAATTCATAATAATCAATGAGGCTACCAAGAATCTCAATATAATTAGATTCCCATAAACTGTTGTATGTCACGATAAAATCTGAATTGCACTATTTAATTGGGAGAATAATTAAAACTTCGTAGTGTCATTACACACCAATTTCACTCATGATTGTTCTCAAATCCTCAATTCTATGCATGAGGAGAAAAAAACCACTGCTAAAAAGTTGTCATGTTTGCTAGCACTCAAGCAAGGAAAGCAAACCTAAATGAGACACCCAACTGAAAAACTTGCTTAAGCCAACCTCACCCTTTCCTATTGTGAAGGGGGATTGCTAAGTTGGGAGAATTAAATTCTTCCTTATAGAAGCCTTGTCACAAGTGAGGCCCAACATCTCTCCTTTTTCCCCTGATATAAGCATATGATTTTTTTTAGTCTACCTTATGTCCAATGTGATTTTTTTATCCAAGTGAAATGCATATTCAATATGAAACTTGAGGGCATAATTTCCCTTGGTCTATCCACAATATTTTAATCTGATTTAAGGATAATGGACAAACTGTCAAGGATTGAAGATGTAAGGACTTACACAAGGTTCCTCAATCGCTTTAATAGCTTCAACATTATGTCCTCTTTTGTCGACTGACTTGTGTATTCAAATCTTCCAGCTACTTGTGTGCAGAAGGCATTAAGCTGTAGCAGCGAAGACTTACAAACCTACTTATATGTTTGACAATCAGGTAACTAAAAATAAAATTTCGAGAGTAAACCATTTACCAGTTCCCTTATCCAGTTTAATGCATAATAAAGAGAGAGACAAATAATCTGTTTCTGCTTTCCTGTCAGAGACTGCCATTCAGCTTCTGAGAAGTACTGGAATTGCAGAAACAAAATCCATGTCAGCAAAATGTCCTATGGAACATTATGAACAATAAAATAAAAACATAGAGCTAAGATAGATCAAACAAAATTGTAAGTACTTTAAGATACAGAAAAAAGAACTTCACAATTTTTACCTTTTTTTTCATTGATAACATTTTCAATGTGTTTCTGTACATTTTTATAAGCTTTAGTCTAACTAAGTGTGTGAGGCATATGTTATCGGCAACCTTAATTGTCCCTAATCTTGCTCTAAGAAAACAAAAATTAAGGTAAAATAATTGAAACAAGTTATAGAATCTAGATGCAAATAGAGGGATATATATATATATATATATTTAAAAGACTTGAATATACATGAAAAAGGGGAAAATTAAGATTTTGGTGGAAGCCAAGGTATGCTAGCTTAAAGAAAGTACAATCTTTTGAGGTATTGGACCTGTCTACTATCTTTTCTATTTTTCCAGGATGTCATGAAAAAAGTAGAAAAAAGTATATTTACCCATGAGGTTTGATAAAAAATACACTTACCTTCTTTAATTTGAAAAATACCTTCTTACCCCCTTAGATTTGGTAAAAAATACGCTAACCCCCTTAAAATGTTATTTACTAAGTTAATTTTTTCATTTTTTTTACTCAAGACTTTTTTTAAGTACCAAACAATGAGAAGTTAATTTGTTTTAAAATTATCATTTATCACTATCAAATTAATTTCTAATTAAATTAATTCTAATTCAAGTAAGTATTAAATATTTTAAAGTTATTTTTAATTTAATAATATATATTAAATTTAAGATGAATTTATTAAATTATTTTTATTTAAATAAATTAATTACCAATATTTAAAAAAAAAGTTTTACTGATATAAAAATTTATTAAAGAAAAAAAAAAAGAAGGAAAGAAAGGAGAAGAAAAAAGGAAAATATAATAATCATCCATTAGATTTATTGAAACTAAAGTTATCCCTATTAGTTTGAAAAATATGTTTTGTTTCTCTTGAAAAAGTAACTAATGTTGAGATTACATTAATCAAACTAATATTTGCTGAAATTTTACTTTAAATATTAAAAATACCCTTGTTTTTTTTTTCTTTCTTTTACCATCATTTTTTCATTTCTTTTTTTGTTTTAAATAATTTCTTTAGCTCTAAATTTTTTTAAAATAATGGTGATTAAATTATTCTAAATAAAAATTGCAAAATACATTTATCTCAAAATTAATATATGATTGAACTAAAGATAAGTTTAAAATATATAGCATGTACTTGGATTAAAATATAACTTAATAAGAATGTAATTTGATAGTAATTAAAAAATAATTCAAAAATTAATTAAATTCTCATTGTGTTGTGGTTAGAAAAAAGTCTTTTGTAAATAACACTTTAAGAGGGTTAATGCATTTTTCACTAAACTTCATAGGCGTAGGAGAGTGTTTTTCAAATTAACACGGTAAGTGAATTTTCTATCAAATCTCAAGAGAATAAGTATATTTTTTTTATCAAATCTTATGGCAAAAAGTGTATATTTTATCAAATCTCAGGGGTAAGTGTCTTTTACCCAGAAAAGTATAACTCAATGAAATAAAAATGCCTTAGAACATCCGCTTCCGAACAAATGGCAGAGATATCAAACACAATTACTTCAAGACCTACATCAAAGAGGGTGTTGTGTTAGCATGGATTCAGTGCATAAGAAATTGTTGCACATAGACATACATGAGGCTTATCCATCAAGCTAACTGAAAGTGCATGCAAGGATAATACCTCATAGTACAATAGAATCCTAAGAAAAAATAGGTGGCAGTCTCTAAGTTATAAACTAATTGCTTGGTGAATATGAGGAAAAGGACAAACAAAAGTGGTTTAAGAAATTAGGAATAACAGCTTATAACTTTTCACTTAAATAAAGCCTTTTGACAATCTTTAGCAATTAATAGAAATGACTCCTATGCCACAAGCTCCGATCATGTTTATCTCATAAATTGTTCATAAAACTACTTAAAATATTTCATTATTTTTACATAAAATCTGATTTTAATATTTATAATATCTAAAAGTAATTTTCTTAACCCATAAGTGACCCAAATGACCAAAGACTTGAACCATTGATGCAATAACCCAAAGCCTTGAACATATCGTTGTCCGATTCAGTTCTGATAAGTGATAACCATGTTTGCTGGTTTTTATATAATAAGCAGAGCAAGTGAAGGAGAAATGAGAAGAAAGCTATTGTCCTTTCAAGTAAAACAATGAGGGTAAAGACTTAGAGGTCAACGAAAAACAGATGTAAATCATAAATCGTTGTATTAGTTTTAAACTTTTCCAATGTTTTGGCAAACTTTATGAATAAATCACAACTGTCTAAAGAAGTTTAAAACGTTAAGGATCTGAACTCAAACAGGGCCTAATGCAAAGGGTAAAATTAAACTGAGATAATAATTTTAAATGCAATAGCATCATGAAACCCTTACACATAATGGCATAAAAAATATGATGTTGACAGGAGTGTTTCACTTGATCTCACCTTAGAAGAGGGAAGCAGCAAAGGACAGCCAAGTAATGCATCAATTCCACCAAGAGATCCTTGATTTGTCAACCGCTCAACCTGTCATTGATTTTAATTTTTATAGAATCTTTCTTTTAGAATACTTCTGATGCCTAAAGCAGCGTACACTTACAGCTGATAGTAAATGAAAGTTGGCAGGAAGAAATTGCAAAGAAGCAGACCTGCAAGAGAAGATTCCAAGTTCACTATACACAATCTCTAAGGAATATGAAAATAGACATTTTGATTCAAGGGAAAACATAACAGAACATTACTGAGAAGAAGAAGCCAATGGCAGAATGTTCAGACAAATAGGAGATATTTCACCATCTAAGTTCATCCATAGCTCGCCTACAGAAGTAAAAGGTAGAAACAATAATCTATAGTCTAACATGATTTTACATACAACTTCAGGAATGCACAGACAGCATCATTAATCCTACCTTCTAAACCGCAATAAGAGGTCTGGCTAGGCAACTGCCCACCATCAAGATCGGACAGAAATATAGATTCAAATTCTCCTACATGGTTGCCAATCCTGCAAAACATAAGCAACTTTCTTACATGCAATAATTAAGTAATTTTATCATCTTCCTAAATGTTTCCAACTTGCAAGCTGAATAACAGTAATAACAGATTGTTGAAGTTGTCTCACCAATCCATGATGACAGGGTGAAGGGTTCTACATTCCAAAATTGCAGTCAGTTCATCATAAAAGAAGATCAATGACAAGCATGACTGTTTGCAAGATTCCAGGCAGGTTTGAAGAAGCTCCAAAGCCTCCTCAGCATTTGATTTCTGTTTTCTCAAGATAATAAATATGAGATCTCACAATGGTGAATGAACAGTATAAATAAATTCAAACATCCTAAGCTACTCAATAGGGAAAGAGAATGATGAGAACTTTCCTATATTTTCCTGTTAGTAGGAAGCACTAGAAAGGATAAAAAATTCACAATCAACACTTGTAAGTATTTGGAAAACAATAAAAAGCAAACATGGACAAGAACTCAGCATTAACCAGTAAAATAGCTCCAGCAGTGGATGCAATCTGCAAAAGGTAGGTAGATTCAGTGTCAATTCTACTTTCTTCCTAATTGTGAGTGGTAGTTTACACTTATCGACACTCCAACTCTTGTGCATGCACAACCATTCTTGAACCCAAGATCCATGCAACCAGTTGGAACTGTTCTGTTCACTAGGGAGGCCTTAGTGCAATTATTGTCAGATAGCTTCTCAGAGAAGCTGTTGACTCCCTTTAAGTGGTGTTTAGTATTGGGAGATCACCTCAAAAATCATGGTGACCTATACACATGGTGGTTATATCACTGCGTTTGGAAAGACCTTGGTGATCATAAGTGGTAGTGATCTTAGATCACCGAGAGTGATTAACAGGATGATCTAATTCTAAGAGGAAAACTTTTATGACCAAGATGATGTGATACGTAAACTCAACTACAGTCAATTAATGTGTGAATTAAAAACATTTTCTCTCACAATTATAATTATTTTATATTATAATTGTTCACCTTTCAAATAATATTCAATGTACAAAATTAAAAAGCATGCTTTCTTTTAACTTTTATTAATGTTATATATAAATATAATTTTTTATTTTCCTTTTATTATAATTTTAATAGATTTAGTTTTAATTTCTAATTCTTTTTACATAATTTATATCATAAAAGTTAGCTTATCTATCAATAAATATATTTGTTAATTTAATAATTTAGTTCTATTTCATTATGACATAAATAAATTATTATTAATATTTTGCAAATTGTTATCTTTAAATAACATGAAATTATTAACTAGTGTAACTACCATAAAATGGTTATTTTGACACTTTCAAACAAAATAAGATTTGACTTTTAGTAATATCAGACATAGTGAACTTTAATTACTAGGAATTAAAGATTGTTAATCAAACAAGGTGATTCTAAATCACAAGTAATAAGATCACCATAGTAATAAAATCACCTTGGTGATTAAATTGTCACGATGAACCCGAAAATGATACAAAATTCTACCTTTCAAAAATGGTTGCAAATGAGACATGGGGACTTTTCTATATACTTTATCCAGAGACCACAACTTCACCCATATCTCAGCTTTTATTGTGGTCCGAAACATTGGAAGGCATGCATTTCAATTGTTTCAAGCCAGCTACAACTTCTAATCCCTTTACTTATGATGCATTACTTTGAAAGAGGTTAATTTTCTGCTACTATTCTATTTGCTCATGAAAGCTGTAGGGTCTCAGGTACATTTATCAGACCTATGAAGTACCTGATTTTAAGTCTTCTATGTGATTTTATCTCCCATCTTATAAGTCTGGACTCAGGATGTCCAGTTACTTTGATGTTTTAAGCCATTAAAATGTTTTTTGTAACTGATCAAAAAATTATGTTATTCAGACTGCTACTGCATTTAGTAGCACTGGTGATAGTGGAACTATCAATTTACATTATGTCATATGTGTGGTCAAATGAATCCAATTGCCCCAAGCTCTAATGTAGGCTCTCTGATCATCAGTTTTAATGCCAGTAATGCATCAGTCAAAGCAATTATTCAAACTATTAAACTCCTGTAAAGAAATTTTACTGCAGTTCCTTATTTGTAAATGATGACACAAGATAAAATAAAGTATTTCACAATTTTCAGCAGCTTTTGTTTCGCTTCTCAACAGTCTTCAGGATTTATGGATAAAATTTATCTAGTTTACTACAATAGACATAATAAATGACAGAAACAACAGCAATTTACCATCAAGATCACACACATGCCACATGCAGTATGTACAGTTAAATATAATATGCTGGACTTTCCAAGTAAGATCAACAACTAAATAACAATATAATTACCAAGGGTCACAGATTATGGGCTACGTTGATACCAGGTCCTACCTGAAATGGTGTTGATAATGTGAAATTACTTTCATCCCTAACACATGAAACTATTTTCAAGATCCCAATTAGGCCCATCTTTTTGTACTTCAGATCCGGATGGATGACCTGCCCAATTGAAGGGTGATGCTGGTCAAAATAACTTCTGCTGCTAAGTTCCTCCAATCAAATCTACAGTACAGAAAATTGAGAGCTACCACCTAAAAATTGCACAACAAGTCAACGTTCAAAACACTATTATAAAGAGCCATGTTGGCTCAAGATACCTGCTTTCGAACAATTATCAAAAGTTCATTTGCAATGGAAGAGCCAAAACAGTCAGCACTAGAGTGAGCTAGCATTGCCATATGGCTGAAAACCTCATAAACCTGCATTGAGTGAATGCTAGTGAAACAGGCACATACAACGTTGTCCTTATAAAGCTTAGAAGTGCAGAAATATAATGAGCAGCAGTAAACCTTATAAAGATTTTCAACAGTCAATCCCTCCAAGTAGTCCAGGATTCCTGAAAAGTACATTGAACTAATGAAGAACACAATAGAAACAAAAGAGAAAGAAAATCTGCATGCAAGATATTACCTACCATTTATATGAGAAGAAAGTGGAATCAATTCCATTGCATGTTTTGTGGCAAGTGAAGCCATAATCTCCAAAGCAGAACTAATTTCAAAACTAACACCAGAGCCCACATGAGTAACGAGTGCACCAAGAACCTGCATAAAGCCACATGAAAATCTCTTGGAACAAATGTACTTAGTCACCAGATAGAGAATAAATATTGATGCTTACTTCCTGTCTTGAATAAGTATCAGCAAACTCTTCAAAAAGAAAAGTATACATGTAAATGCCAAAATCCCTTGCCTTTTGTTCTTTGCATGCCAATAGATACTCAGATAAAGAAAGGAAGGACAGGAAATATTCCTAACAAAAAACAAGGAAAAAGTCAAAATGAGTTTGTGGAATATATTCAGCAAAATGGAAAGGATCATCATGCCAAAGAATAGCAACATATACCTGTGCGAGTTCCTTGTTCCCACAAATGCACTCATCAAGCATAACTTCCTGAATGCAACCTTCAATAATTTTCTTCTTAAATACCTTCTCAATGCTTTTTCGCATGGACTCACCATTTGTGTACAATATCAAAAGCAGCCATATGTCGATCACTTTGTGATCTCGAGGTTTCTCAAGGCCATTCAATTCCTTCAAAATCTCCTGACAGAGTATCTATTGATAATGGGTAGATACAAAAGAATGTATTAAACCAAAACATGTATCGTCAAATAAGAAAGAGGATAAATGACTTACACTCTTGAATTGAAGACTAGATCTCAAAGCATCAAGAATAGATGCCTCTGTGTTGTCAACAAGTAACTTCCCTTTGAGTTTATTATTCTGCATTGTGCGAGTATTTGACATCCTGACAAACTTTAAATGCTCACGTATCTGTGAGATTATTCTTCGAACATTTACTTGTGTAGCAGAGAGTAGTAAAAATCTAAGCAAACATGGCATGTGCTCTGCATCAATTGTTCTAATGCATGACAGTGCGATGGTTATGACCTTCAATGCAAAGAAACAGAATTAAAATTAGATATACATGCAAAAAGAAACATGGCATCTTAAGATTTTGATTGGTTGCTGAAAATATCTTGGAATGATGAAAAGAAGAAGGCTTGAGTCAAGTCTTACCTATCATGAAGGGAAAAGCCAGCCCAAAAGCAAAATTTTATATATTTGTTAGAGAATATTCAGTTGAGCTCATGCCACAAGATTTTGAAATCAACGAATAGAAATACCAAAAAAAATGGCATCTGATGAAAATACTGGAAGGATCAAATAAAAGTGCATGAAAGGTAAGGAAAGCTGATTACAATGGCCAAATTATAATTTGAGACTCCTATGCAGATCAAGGTTTAATGTTGTTTGTGGATGGTTCACTTTATGTTTTCTTAATTTTGATGGGTTTGATGGGTCACCTGTATTCCTGTAAATTCAGGCCTTCCTAGAAATAAGTGAATTGGAAATTTCAGGGGCCTCATGTTGGTGTAGCAATATTATGCATGGTCAACTCATTCTATGTTGTTTTATGTTCTTGCAACCCAAAGTTGGTCTATGTATAGTCTGATCTCCTCCAGCAGACACAATAAGGTTTCTTTATCAAATACTGAAGTGAATTCTTGCGAAGTTGAGCCCCTTTTATAGCTCTGAGTGCCTAGAGAACACGAAGGGGAATCGACTAGGTTTTATCCCTCCTCCTTAGAAACCTAAATTACCAAATCCAACAGCCTTCGTGCTAGTTTTCCTTAATTCAACTTAAAGCAAAGCTACAAATCCACCATCACTGCACTCATAATTACCTCACTCTCTGCAACCAAACAGCCTCAAACCAAGTTTCTAACCTATTTGCAACTGATAAAAGAAAAACTGAATTCTAAAATTTGGTAGTCACTCCCAATCCTGTATGCTACTTCAGCTGTAATTTTGAACCTAAGACCCTTAACCACCAATTACTTTGTACTGCATTACATAGCTGTATTATTGTGAAACGAAGACAAAGTATTGAATCTCGGATTTATCATTTTTTTTCGTTGAAGAGCAGAAATTGTCAACGCATTAAGCTTTGCTAAAACTAAATCGCAAGTTTTTTACGACTTACAAATGTCTTTATATTCATAGAAAAATTAACAAAATTAAAACAAAAAATTCAAAAGTAAACGAAAAATTAAAGAGAAAATGATAGACCTGTTCTTGCAGCTCATCATCCAAATTTAGGTTTGAAAAAGAGTCGAGCACAGGAACAATTATGGATGGGTCCTCGTGGAGCATTTGTTCAAGGGAATCAACCAGAGTCTTGTTATTTTGATCACCAATGATTTCCGGCAACGATCCAATTATCTCTTTTTTCAAGTGTAAAGGGCAAATGGAAAGGACTTGCATTAGCTTATCGGTGAAGGAAGCAGGATCAACAATAAAATCAAGCCATCGAAATTGATTAATGATAAGCCTAGCAACATCATCTTCAAGGGACAATGATGCTTGCGAATCTCCAGAAACTACGTCAAAATATTCCGGAAGTTTCTCAAGGAGCATAATCTGAATGTCTAATTGGATTGGTGCAACCAGCAAGAGATGGCGGACTAAGCTTTCACTTCTAGTGGGAGCCAAACTACTTCCATTCGAAGATATGAGAACCCTGAAAGCATTTAATTTGTAGGAATAATTATGCATAGCTAGGGGAAATTAAAAACCAAAATTTTAAAAGTTAGAAGAAATAGGAAAAGAGTAAACAGACCTGCGAAGATTGGAGGGAGATTGAATGTAAGAAGAGAAACCAGAGAGAAAAAGGGAGCGATCATCAGAAGAAGAAGAAAGGAGACGGGAGAGGTGGCGGCGTAGCTTGTAGGGATCGACAGGAAGGGAGGGTGGGCCTAAGGGGTTTACCAAGGTACAACCACCCTCAGCTAAGACTGAAACCATCTTTTCAACATCATCAACAGTAACGCCGTCGTTTTGAGATTTGGGGATTTTGGGCGCAGGAAATGGAGGAACAAAGGAAGAGGAAGGCCTCTTCCGAGACGGATTTTGGTAGTGGAGAAATGCCATGTTTTTCCTCCTCTCAGAATTCGCTTTGCAGCAGATTCCTCTTGGAGGTGGCGGAGGTGGGTGGTGTGATTGGAGAAGTGTCTTTCCCTTGGTTGCTTCTTCGGAGAAATGAAAGGCGCCAAATTTCAAGAGGAGGAACCTCTAAAATCTTTTTCTATAATTTTGAAAATTTTTGCTCATACGATGGATATCGGGTCAAAACTCGGGTCACCCGACCTACACTATGTAAAAATTAAATTAATATGATTTTTTTTGTATTATATTAAAGTAATATGCTAACTTCTCATATTTTACCTTTTTATTAATACTAACTTATTGAAAAAGAATTAATTCTTGTAAATATTGAAATTAAAATGATAATTTTTTTTTATTCTGTTATCATTTAAATTAATTATAAAAAATAAATATTTAATATTTGTATTTATTGTATAACATATATGTGCTAATCTATTTTTTCTTTTTAAATGTTTATTTTTAAATAATCAATCAAGAGAATGTTCTAACTTTTTGTATTTTACCTTTTTATTAATACTAGTTTATTCAAAAACAATATGTACTTAATAAATATATAATTTCCATAATAATTATTTTGTGAATTTAAATTATTGTTTTATGTATTCTTTTTTTATTTGAATTAATTTATTCTAAAAAGATAAAATATTTTATATTTATATTTATTTCATAAAAACTTCAAAAAAAAAATTTTATATTTATATTTATTTTGTAAAACCCTAAAATAATTAATTATTAACGAGTATATTTATTGCTCATAATCTAACTTTAGATATATAATTATTTTGTCAATTTAAAAGAATAAAGTATTAAATATTTATATTTATTTTGTGAAAACTTCAAAAAATAAAATAAAATATGTAATATTCTATTTATTTCATAAAAACTTAAAATACTTAATTATTAATGAACATATTTATTGTTCATAATCTAATTATATATATATATATGTTGATTTTGATCCCTTCATTAATAATTAATAAGTATGGTTAAATTAATGATTTAGATAGGGTTTTTTATGAAATGGATAACGTTGTGACAAGTGATTGTTTTTTTTTTTTTTGTTAACAGAAAACATGATAGATCAATCTAAAAAATTTAATAAAAAATATTAAAAATTAATTTATCACATGTATAAAACTTGTATTTGAGTATTTTTTTTGTAAATCAAAGTGATGATGTAAAAAATCTCAAAAAAGTATCTAATGACTTAGATCCATCAATTCAAAAGGTTTAAACCACTCATAAAAAGGCTTTGAAATGATATTGCGAGGGTTTCTTCTCATATTGAGTAGGTAAAAAAAAATTGTCATATAACTAGTCATCTAAAAAGCAGCCACTTCATCAATTTTAAAGTTTATGTCATCTATTAATGATGCTTATACAAAAATAAAAATTCATGTCAAATAAAATTATAAAAATTTAATGTCTTGCTATTTACTCCAATTTTATTTTAAATATCTATGTTTTCTAACATAACATATAGTTATGAGATAAATTTAAAGATGTGATCTATCATTTCATGAGTAAGCCAAGTCATTAATAAATGAGATATTGCACTTAAACAAATAAATTATTATCATGTGGCAAATGTTGTAAGATAAAAGTGATGGAGCAAATATAATTTTCCAAATTTAATTTATTAAAATAGAAGAAGAATGACTAAAATCCAAAAATTGGGGTAATGTTTGGGATTAAAATATATATTTTACTCAAAATTTGCTCATGAATATCAAACAAAGTTAAAGGAGTTAGTTCTTTTATGTGGTTGTAAGTATATACTAAAAGTAATTCATAATAAATAATAAGGTTATTTATTAAAGGTTGTTTAGCATAACTTCTTTATTGAAGGTTACTTTGCTGATGGTTGTTTCACTAGAACAACATTTTTAGGGATACTTTCACGTATCAATTAGCTTTAAGGAACAATGCCAAACATCTTCAACGAACAACACTTTTATGGAAAACTTATTCATTGAAAGTTGTTTCAATGATAATTAATCTATAAAAGACGTTTCATTGAAAAGGAAAAAATGAAAAAAGCCGTATAATTTGGCAAAATTCTTAGGTTAAATTTGTTATTGAAATGTTTTAAAAAGCTTGATTTGATAGATTAAATTTAAAGATAGTTAAGAGGTTTTTTTTAACATTTCTCTTAGGTATGTGTGTTTTTCTCTTTCTTTTATATTTATTATTCATTATTACCAAAAGCTCAACTCCTATACATAAAATATTAATATCTTTGTAACTATCAATTTTTATCATTATCTTTACATAATACCCGAATTCTTTGGTGATGAGAGGAAACGTTTCAAATAAGTAAAATGGAATGTGTTAGGAAATGGCAAAAAAGAAGGCTGGAGCTAATCATAAAGTATCAAATGTCGTGGTAAATGTGGTAGACAATGAAACGAGGTTGATTAGAAAGAAAAATAAGGTTGAGAAAAGAATTTGGAAGAAAGAATTGTGAAATATTTTATATAAGATGTTCAGATAATTTACTAAAACTCCCAAAATGAATTATGATAGCTCTTATATATAAGTCTCCAAAATGGGGTATTAAAATGTCATTATCGAGCAAAAAAGTATTCAACCTGTGAAACCAAACTTGAGAAGCTTATTTAAGCCCATATAAAGGACGTTTGCGTTTGTATACATGATTTGGAAAATTTGAGTAAAAAAAGCTATGTGGTTGTTCCATGTAAATTGATTCAACGAGATATCCATGAAGAAATGTGTTTTGGACATCTAACTGTCTCATGTACCATTTACAAATAGATACTATTGTAATAATTAATCGAATGTTGCTTAGTTTTATAATAGGAGAAAATGTCTCATTAAAATCTACTCCATTAATTTGATGAAATCTTTTGGCCACAAGACGAACCTTCAAGCAATCAAGGCTGCCATCTGATTTTAGTTTTGTCTTAAATATCCATTTACTTCTTATAACATTCATTTTTCTTAGAATGTGGAACAAGATCCCATGTTTCATTTGACTTCAAAGTAGCAATTTCTTCATGCATAGCTTATGTCAAACATTTATGCTTTAAAGCTTACTTAGTACTTTTCAGTTTACATAGTATTTTTGGACTTGTAAAGTCATGAAATCTTGCATATCTCAAATTTGGTGTAAAAATTTCTTTATGAAAGTGAGTTACCATTGGATATGCATGTCTATTGTCAACATGGACATTGGAATGATTGTTTTCATTTTAACTTAAGTCATCAACAGATTGAGTTGGCTCAGTTTGCAACTCAGATAGCCCCATTAAGTTATTTTCTGAAGGCAAACATGTGATGTCTTGCTGCATAGCTAAATGATCTAGTGCATTGTTGGAGAATGGTGCAATAATCACATGTGGTGGGGTTGTATTGTCATGGCATGCACTAGGAATAAAAAAGGACATCTTAGCTTCATCAATGGTCACATTTTCTTAGGACATGATAGGAACTCTTTGTGGGATGTGTTCATTGACTATTGACAATGGATCAATATCAATAAAGGTTTTATGGCTATTACATGAAATTTTAACACTTATAAAAAATCTTTTTTATTAGTAACATCTCTCTCAAGCCAATTACGATAGTTAAAAATTTCCTCTTCAAAATTATTTACACTGCATAATGAACTTGGATCAACAAAAAGAAATTTTGACTCATTAAAGGTAACATGGTGAGAGACAAAAATATGACCAATTGTTGGGTTCAAGCATTTATATTCTTTGTGCTTTATGCTATAGCTAATGAAAACACAAGGAATGGATTTTGGTTCCAGTTTATTTCAATGATATTCCCTAAGTTATGAAAAACACCTAGACCCGAAAATTTCACATGAAACTATAGTCAGGATGTTTTTTGTAAAGCCTAAAATAGAAGATTCCATCTTGATACTAGTGGAAGGTAGATGATTTATCAAAACTATAATGGTAAAGCAATAAACCCAATATTAAGCTGTTAACTTAGTATGAAATATCATCGTTAAACCTAACTCATTAATACTTCTTTGTTTTCATTCTACAAAACCATTTTGCTCTGAGGTTTTGGGATAGGCAAGTTGATGTTGGATTTTATAGCCCCCTAAAAGATTCAAAAAAGATTTATTTGCAAACTTTCTACTTTCATTAGTTTGAAAAATTTTAATTTGTTTGTTGAACTATCGCTCAACAAATCTCTAAAAATGAATAAAGCACATTAACAAGTCAAACTTTTTTTCTCGTAGGATAAAACTAAGTAAATCTAATGTGCTCATCGATAAAGATAACATAATAACGATATTTGTCAACTAACTTAATATGAGCTGGTCCCTACAAATCACAATGAACCTTCATAAATAAGTCATCATAATAAACCTTCATAAATAAGTCATCCCAATGATCATTAATTCTTTCAAAAAGAAGTTTGTATGCCTTTCCTAACTAATGACTTTCACAAACCACTTCAAAATTAAGCTTGTTATTAAGCTCAATAAAACCATTATGAGAAAAGAAAATCAATTATTCAATAGTGAGAATGTCTAAGATGTTAATGCCATCCTTCTTTATTTGTCTTTTTAAAATGGTTTGAGAAAAATACTGCATGTTCTTCACTACACCCGTTTAAGGCATATAAACACCCTTGTCTTTCTCCAAAATATTTTTACTACTAGAAATTTAAGCTTTATCGACAGAATTTTTCACTGGTAAAAGCTTATAATCTATCGATAATAGCAATAGTGATGGTTTTAGCAATGAAAAATTTCATCGTGCTAGTTATGTCGATAATGTTATTCTATCGGTAATGGTTTGATTTTGTCAATAATTATCGATGAAAAATCCATCGGTAATTAACGATCAATTTATTGCCAATGATTTTACTTACATAATTTTTCATTGGTAATTAGTTACATAGTTTTTTCGTCAGTAAATCTATCGATAAATCCATCAGTAAAAGTTTTTTTTCGTCGATAAATTCATCAATAATAACCATAAAATGGTCATAAAAGGATTTTTTTCATCTGTAAATTCATCAATAATGATAAAAATTATGTTGATAAAAATACAATTTCATCAATAATTTAAATAAAAACATTTATAATTATTCAAAAAACCTATAAT